TACACACAGAAGGCTCATACACGTTTGTTCAATATGTGAATGGACGGGTGATTTAACTGATGCAGTATTTATCACAGGGTTAAAGATTAACAAGGTACGAAGCTCGATTCCTAACACCAAAAATTGAATGAAAAAGGAATCAAGTATGTTGGGATACACCATTTGGGGGTTTTAAGTATGTAAAGAAGTGGAAGAAGGTATCAGGGGTGGAAAGGCCTGACAAGGTAACTCCACATCCTATACAAACCCAAGAGGATCCTAATTAGAATAAGTTATACTCTGTGTATGTACAGTATGCCCAAAAAAACTCTACTGTCATGTATATCTAAAAAGAACAAATAATAATAAGACTCTGAGCTATAGGATGAAATTGGAAGAAAGTTTCATCCTGTATCTTGTGCCTAACCCACTCAGAGTTCTACAAGATAATCAAATTCATTTTAACTTCTTTGGGGGGTTATTAACCAAATTTCTTCAGCAAGTACTCGAGAAAACTGGCAGAGGCCGTTCCTCAGATGAACAGTGTAGCTTCTAGGTCCTTCTTAACTTGCATGAGCTGCAGAGTCTTTCCCAGGATCAGAGAGAACTGGTAAGAAAGCAGTCTTATACAAAAGTTCAGATTAGCCACACGAAAATGTTGTCAAACTCTGCCTCTCTCCCCTTCTTCCTAGAGGGCACCTTCTACTTTAGATCTACCATCAAGATTAATCAGCTTCATATTCCTTTGCGTATGGGCTGTGTGTCTGCCAAGGGGGCAAGAAGGACCAGGGTTTCTCCTAGGACCTGCCATACTGTTATCATTCACTTAAAAAAAATTAAACTAGCCAGACTTCTGATTTCACCTACACAGGAGAAAGCATGGAATCTAGTCTAAACCCCAAAGCCAAGCTTACCATCTGTTGCATAATTTCCCCTTCCACACTCCAATTCCCTCTTAGAATCATTTTTTTAAAAATTAGTGTTAGTCGAAACATGGATGAACCTTGAAAACATTCTGCTAAGGGAAAAGCCAGCCACAAAAGACCATGTATGGTATGATCCTATTTGTACAAAATGTCCAGAATGGACAAATCTGTGGAACCAGAGTATCGGTTTGCCTAGAGCAGAAAGGCTAGAGGTGATAGAAGAAGGAGCGGGCAACTCCTCAAGGTACGGAGTTTCCTTTGGGGTTGATGAAAATAAGATTGACAGCGGTGATGGTTTCACAACTCTGTGAATATGTTAAAAGCCATTGAATTATATACATGATGAGTTAATTATCTCTTAATATTTTACCATGTCAACCTATTTTACACTAAGCAATTAGACATTGCCAAATGTCAACTAAAAGCAATTCCCAAGTCCTTTATTGAGTAGTCTGTGTTCATAAAAATATGCTAAATAAAGTGACAGCATAGTTCATTCATTGGAAAAGTAATGCATACGAGAAAATAAGAGCCGGAGAAATATATCAGTCTTGAATTATCACATGTTATTATGGGTCTTGTTATGGTTTAGATATAAGGTGTCCCATAAAGGCTCATGTGTGGGACAATGCAAGAATTTTCAGAGCTGAAGTGATTAGATTGAGAGGTGTAACCTAGTCAGTAAGTTAATCCACTGATATGGATTAACGGGGCAGGTAGGATATGGCTACAGGAAGTAGGTCACTGGGGGGTGTGCCTTGGGTGTTTATATTTTGTCCTTGGTGAGTGAAGTATCTGTTTCTTGGCTGCCATGAACTGAGCAGTTTTTATCTGCCACACTTTCTACCATAAAGTTCTGTCTCATCTCAGGTCCACAGCTGTGGAGTCTGTTGATCCTACACGGAACCCTGAAACTATGAACCAAAATAGAATTTTCCTTTCTGAATTGTTTTGGTCACAGTGATGAAAAGCTGACTAAAGAGGTCTTAATTTCTTCTGGGGAGTTCTTAATCAGGCTTTTTTTTTTTTTAAAGCAATTACCTAGGACAAAGCATGGTTGCATTTTTTAAAACGAACAGTGTAGCTTCAGGACTGTGTCTCATGTTTGTTTCTAGACAGAACCCAACACTGACACACCCAGTAGTGTCCACATGTTATAGCAGGAGAGCTAGTGTTGTATGTGCATTTTGCCTTCATCGGGCACACTGGCCAGCATGTGACTCATTTAGTGCATGTGAAAAGGAATCGGCGAAATTGAACAGCAACAAGTGGCTAAGTTCTCTGGGAGAAAGGTGACCATGTGATGTTGCCGAGCGTACCCAGTTACCTGAGGAGAATCCCTCTCTGCAGTCACTAGGTGTGGGATGTTATTTAAGGATGAATAATGGACTTAAGGCATAACAATTGATGTATCATTATTTGTGACTGTTTTAGAGAAAAAAAGCGATGGGTGGGGTGCAGTAGTGTGATCATGTAAGCGACTGCCACCAACTCAGGTCGACATTTCTGAACAAGGTTTGATGATTTAACTGAAGACATTTGATCACCTCTACCCCCCAAGAAAATAGGAAATAATGCAAACCACCTATCTCCTGTCAGTCAGAATATGAAAGGAGTCCATCCCGCTCTGAATGAGTTAGTCCCAAATTCCAGGACTTTCAAGAATCCTAAAAGTCAGATGGTGTGGCCACCTAAATCATTAAGCAGGAGAGGAAGAAATCCTCAGTGTCCTGCTGGTAGAATGAGAGATGGTGACTTACCAGAATTTTGGCAACTCTAGCTCTGGTCATTAAAGTTCCCAGACATGTATTATGGTGTGGATATGAGGTGTCCCTCCAAAGCTCCTGTGTTAAGGCAGGAATATTCAGAGATTATGAGAGCTGTAACCTAATCAGTCCACCCTAGTTGGAACGGACTGACTGGGTAATGACTATTGGCAGGTGGGATGTGGCTAGAGGCGGTGGGTCCCTGGGGGCATGCCTTAAAAGTATGCGTCTTCCTTGTGGCCCCTCTTTCATCTCTCCTGCCTCCCGACCACCATGAGCACAGCAGCTTTCCTCCACTCACCTTCCGCCATGATGCCTCATCTCCCACCCAGAGCAATGGAGTGCATCAATCATGACTTAAATCTCTGAAGCCGTGGGCCAAAATAAACTTTTCCCCCTCTAAGTTGTTGTCAGGAATTTTTGTCACAGCAATGCCAAGCTGATGAACATATCGGGTCACACCAAGAACAACAACATTCTGTTTGCTCAGGGATACACAGTTGAAAAGTATAAGTAGTCCAGCTATAGCTCTCCTAATGCCATCAAATGTGTATATAAATGTGTTGCCTTTACAAGGAAGATGCTTGTTCTAATAATTGGGTTATTTTGTTTAAATTGCTTTACACTTTACAAGTAGATGTGTGCACACCACATAAGTACCCATCCTCTCCACCACTTGTCATTTTTGTTTAAAACCATCCTCCTAAGTGGGAACTGATGTCTCTCACTGTGAGATACCAGTGGATTTCCATTTCTCATGTTCTTTCCTTCATTTTCACCTTTTTCTTTCGTTGATGAATGACCAGAGCTAGAGCAACCACCAAGTTGCCTACACTTCCCAAAGGAAGAAACCATGTTTATTCATTTATATTCTCAGCACCTACCTAGTGCTTAGCACAGAGTATATACTCAATGTTGTCAGATTCGTGATCAAACACACACACCCCATTTTGGCTCCTCCTCCTGCCCAGATCCCTCCCAGAATTCTCCTTGGAAAAACAGTTTGAGAGTTTTGAAAACCTTGAAGTGAACTCAATAGATGAGTCATGGTTTGCATGATGCAAAAGTAAACCAAGAGAAGCCGTGATATTTTAAAAATATAATTTGTACATTACCAAATCTCTTTGAAGTCATTTATCTACCTCCTAAGAAGTAACATCTTTTCTAAATTAAAGGCTGAGCAAAATAGTTTCTAAGAAATTGTGAAAAGGATTCATTTCCTCCCGTTTGTGGAGAGTAAGCCCTCAGTGACCTATTTTAATAAAGGTCTATGGAAAATGTCACGGTAAAATAGAGAGTATCTTATGGTCATTTCAACCCAACTGATTTTTACTAAAACTAAGAAAAGTTGACAAGGTCTAAGACCTTCATGAGAGCCAGAGTCAGGAGAATAAATTCATTTTCTGAGCCTCTCCCTTCTTCCCACCCCAATGAATCATGCCTTGATTATTTGGTCTTATCTGAAACCATCTGCTTCCATGGTGAAGTGCTAGTGTGTGCGGAGCTGTGCTTGCCCTTCTGAAGCAGTTTCTTGTGTGTGAGCCGCTTCTCTGTGAAGGAGGGGAAGCAGGCGGGTTTTGTCTGTTTTTTTAACTTTCCCTCCTGGATCAATAAATTTCAACTAATAAAGGACACTAACGAAGGGAGTTATAGTTGGGCTTTCCTTCCTTGGTCAATGGAACCTGTATCACTCCACACTATCCAGTAATGTTGAATTGTGTATTATCATGAATTCCCCAGATTTTTTTTTTTAGATGGTCTTATTCCTTCTACTTAAACTCTATGTTTTAGTCTTTGCTGGCAATTTCTAGGGGCCCTGTGGAAAGCTAAACCCCCAGAAGCCACTGTCTTCACATCAGGAGTGGTTAAATATCCTCAGGATCTTTCCAACCATGGAGCTGAGTTCACCTCTACTCCAAAGTGCACCAAGCCTTTTAAGAACAAGGGCTGGGGATATAGATCTGTGTAGAGTACTTGCCTGGCATGCATGAGAGTCTGGGTTCCATTCCCAACATGGTGGCAGTTAAGAGAAGTTTTGAAATAAGCCTTGTGAAAAGAGACTTGTTGCCCAGAATTTGGGAGCACTTCAGGAGTCTCAGATCCTAGCATCTCTACTTGATTCACTGGCTCCAACAGGCTCCCAACAGCAGACGTGGTCTAACCTGTTTCTAAGGGATCTGGGCTGATGTTCACTCTCCAAGTGTGAGCTACTGTTTGGATTTATTGTCTTTTCTATGGGTACTCTTGGGAAACTCATGCTGTCTCTGGTCACATGACCTTAGCTGTGCTGGATCTGGACTGACAGTTTCCTCTTTGCCCTCTTTCACAGGATACATCCCCAGCTACTTAGACAAGGACGAGCTCTGTGTCGTGTGTGGTGACAAAGCCACTGGGTATCACTACCGCTGCATCACGTGTGAAGGCTGCAAGGTAAGCACCCTGGGTGCCCAGCACTCAGCTGTACCATTTCTGATCCTTTCCTGTGTTAATTCCCAATTAACATCAAATCCAGCATTCGTGGCCTATGACCAACCAGGGGTCTGGTGCTGCTCTTCATGTTTGACACATTTCAGAACTGAACTCTTGGGGTTGGGGCTCAGTGGTAGAGTGTGTGCCTAGTACATGTGGGGCGCTGGGTTCAAGCCTCAATACATAAAATAAGGATATCATATCCATCTACAATTTTTTAAAAAAGAACTATTTCACCAAATTGTAAGTAACTACATGAAGTTTTGTGAGAGTGTGACATCTGGTTTCTTTACCTCTCCAAGTATTTTTAAAGCAGGAAGAAAATGAAAATTTTTAAACTTTTACTGTGAGTTTTTTTTTTTTAATGCATTTCTATCCCAAGAAAATGCCATTTCTCCTCCCATTTTATCTGCAGTACTGGAGGAGACAGGGTCTGCTCTGCCGCAGGCTGCTTCCACCGTTCATCTGCATGAATCTGTCCACTTTTAAGGGTTCCATTAGGAAATATCTTTAAGGCTACTTAGACTCAATTATGTTCTGAAATTTATCCAAAGTGGCTTTCTGTAAAGGCTGTAGTAAATACCTGATGGATAGCCAGACTAATTTTATTCTCTGCAGACCTTTCTTAAGATCCTTGACAAGAACATACCAGTAATCAACAGTCAAAAGCGAGCCTAAATTTGCCTACTTAGAATCTTTGTCAACAAAATTAATCTTTATGGAAAACATCTTTTGGCCTGACAACCTAGCCAGAAAAATAGTCTGTCATAAAAAGCTAAAGCCAGTGCTATATCCTCCATTCATCTAATGCAGTATAAATGAAGATATATTTAAAAATTGGGGACTTTCAAATTTTCTTGACCTTTTTTATATCTGAAATTTAATTATCACAATATGTAAACTAAAATTTGTACAACTCCATTTTCACCCATCTTATCTCCTCTTCTTCTGATACCCTATTCCTCCTCCTGCTAACCCCCAAAATTAACATGTTAGTCCATTACAAACCAAGGTGTATTCCACTTCCCTAGTGGAATATTTGCCTTGCATGAAATTTGGAAATGCTTAGAAGTCTGCTTATAATGTTGACATGATACATCCCCTAAGGTCCCAAGGCCTTTTATCTGCAACACTGTTGTTTGAGACCCTGTTACACAACTTTCCATTCATCCAGACCCTTTTGATCTGGATGCTATAGTTCTTTAACAAAGACTGGGCTGAAGGTTGCCATTATGTCCATGAAAGTAACATCTTAAGGAATTTCATGAAGCTAATTACAAGTAAGTCCTAGCTATTTGTGCTTTTAAGAGAGACTACAAGTCTCCTAATCAATAGTTTTATTGGCTTGATTTGAAAGTCATAAAACCATGAAACATTCTCTCATTCCAAAAACTCAGTAATTGAAACTAGCCTTCCCTCCCACCACCACCAATTAGCCTCAATTCAGAAGGCTTTACCTGACTGATTATGCAGCATTGAAACTCTTTTAAATCATTTCATATGGCAAATTTTGAATTCTGGGAGAGAATCTAATGAAAATTCCATTTAATACTTAACTCCCCAAAGTGACTCTCCGGACTGAATATGCCTTATAGAGCACTAAATGCATTACCAGCAATTGACTTAAACAAAGGGCGAACTGAGCTTATTAACCCATGTCCCTGCCTCGCTAAAATCAATTTTCCTCATTTCTCAAAACCACTGGATGTTTGGGGCTTGATTCAGCTAATGTTTCTTTAAAAAAAAAAATCATGTAGCACACCTGGTATTATGCAGGAGGATGGCAAGTTCAAAGCCAGCCTCAGCAACTTAGCAAAAACCTGTCTCAAGAAAAAAGAATAAAAGGCTGGGGATGTGGCTCTTGGGTTAAATCCCCAGCAAACACACACAAAAAAAGATCATGTAGCAAAGGCAGCTTTCTCAAATCCTGTGCCTGTATCTCCATCAGAATTCTGATTCTGGGATTGCCTCCATTATTATCTAGAAAGGAGCCTTCCTTGATAGGGGCAGGCTGGTAATGACAAATTGGGAAAAAGTCAGTTTTTAAGAATGGCAAAAGATTTTTTTTTCCCAAAGCTATGCTTCACATATTGCTTAAACATGCGATTTTTTTTCTATGGGATAGAACGTTGTCCTTTTTTTTCTCTAACAAAAGTAAAATCTTTTGGAGATATTTTCTTGTGCTAGTTGTTAATTTTTTTTTCTTCTACAAAAGATGCATTATGTTGCTCCACAATTTTCTAAGACAGACCCAAAGCTTAAGAGCTTCCCAAATACTGAACTAGGAGGGTAACACTCAGCTCCTGATGTCACTGATTGTCACATCATCTCAGATCACTAGAAATAGGTCCATCTTCTCAGGATGTATTGAAACTTCTTAAAAAGGATACCTCTACTCACCAACAAACCAATGAAATATGTCATCATTCCATAAAACCTCAGAAAGGCTTTTGTCATTATATTACTCTGAGTGTTGAACCCAGGGACTCAGGGATTGGGGGTTTAGCTTAGACCATGTGCTTAGCATCCCTAAAAGGATTTTTTAAGTAGACTATTATAAAGATCTTCTATTCAAGTGTGCTTTTATGGGCTGGGGATAAGCTTAGTTGGTAGAGTGCTTGCCTTAGGGCACAAGGCCCTGGGTTTGATCCCTAACACAAAAAAAAAAAAAAAAAAAAAAAAATCAACTCTTGGGTTTTTGTTTTTTTTTTTAATCTTGTCACTTTTTAAGATGAAGAGGCCAAGCATCTTTATATTTAACTGAGATGAAGTGGTCCGTCATCCTATGAAAGTATGCCTTATTATAGCTCAGGAGGGTATAAGAGGAAATAGGTCCATAAAGCACCCAAGAAAAGTCATCAAATGTAGGCGCAGGAAAGATGGCACAATGATGGGTGTAGCAAGGCACCCCCAGCCTTTGTTCAGAATAGGCAAAGTCGAAATTATTTCACCCATCCCATTAGAGAGTGCATAGAATGGCCCTTGGGGAGAAGTGGGGCTCCCCTTATTCTGGCTTTCACACCTCACCCACTCATTAGTGCTGACTCTTCAGGATGCCCCCAACCCAGTCCTATCCATGGATCAGGCATCAGAAAGAACATGAGAAGAGGGTCACCCCAGCTTTCTATGGAGAAACCACCTGCCTGTCCTGAGCAGCCCAGTCCACATCCTCACTGGCTGTCTTGGACTTTCCCACCTCTAGGGAAACAGGTTGTGCTGGCCTCCAGTCTGTGCCCTGAAGGTTTTTTTTTAATTTTTTTCTTTTATGGTTATAGATAAACAGCATGCCTTTATTTGTTTGGTTTTTTATGCAGTATAAGGATTGAACCCAGTGCCTCACCCATGCTAGACAAGCGCTCTGCCACTGAGCTTGTGCCTTGCATCTTGCCTGTAATCCTCTGGGTTTCTTTAGCCCTCTTCTGTCCTCCTTGGGGGTGGGGGTTGTAGCGCAGCTTACATTTCACTTCTGTGACATGCTCTGACATTGACACTATTCAGGAATTGCCCACCCTGAACAGCAACACTGCTGCCCTCTCACCCAGCTGAACCGTGTGTGATTCCATGGATCCTGTAACTGCATATTCACCTCACAGAACCTCATGAACTTGAACAATGCAAATAGTAAAGGATTTACACACAGGCCCCCAAATCAAGCCTATAAGTCTCAGTCATTTTTCTTTCTGCTTTGCCAACATAACGTCCTATGTTGGACCTTTTCATTGTAAGGAAGCGCTTTTGTGTCTGTTGAGGAATATGCAAAGTGGGCATATGGACGTCACCAAAGCCAAAGAAAATTACCCAGGATAACAAAAACGTGGGCTGAAGCTGGCATTTCCGTCCCACCATTTCTCTAACAAAGGGAGAGGCCCCCCCTTTAAGTTTCAGCAGCGAACTCCTTCAAACTTGCTAGTCTGCCAAGACAGATAAAAGAAATGTTTTGGAGGGGCAAGTGAGGGGGGAACTAGTGATATTCTGTTCATTCAAATAATACAGTAAAGTCATTTCATATCACGTAAGCAGTTAAGCAAAATAAGATTTGGATTACAACTCTGGGGTTGCAGGTCAAGTTCCAGCATGAACTTACTGTGAAGCAAGCAACTGAATCTATCTGAGTCTTAGTTTTTTAATCCCAATGATGGGGACATTAAGAGTATAGCCCCACCCCCAGGGTTATGGGGAAGACAGAAGGACATTCGTGTCCACAGCACTTTGCAACGTAGCCCTCACAATGAGTGCTGCCATTATCAGTTCCTGCAATTTAGAGTACAGTTGCCAAGACTTCAGAATCATGTCCAGAAAGCTTCGGGTACAATCCCCTTGAGAATGTTATGTAAGTCACCCAACCCTATAACTGAATAGCATCCTTCAGACAGGAAAAACAAATTGAATTTGTGGGTGTATGTCTACAGACATTGAAGAAAAGAAATGAGTTATGGGGGAAATGTGATAGAAAACCCAGAATTTTCTTCTAAGTGCTGTTGTTTGAAAGGCTAAAAGAATTGGCCATCTCAAGAGTCAAAACAGGAATTAAACTAAATTTCTAAAGGCACTTAATGCATCTACTTAATTACCAAGTAATTGTTAATAAGTCTCAAAAGCATTCGGCTCTTTTAATCCCCAGTCTAAAGTCCCCCATAGCTTAAATTCAACATCATCGCAACACCCTATGAAATAATTTATATTATTCAATGTATAGATAATTTAAAAAGTGCTAGATTCTCCTATTAGCTTCATTTCCTTGAATAAATGGCAAAAAAAAAGTATGGATCCTGCAACCCTATGACATCTCCTTTAGCTCTTGGGGGTTCACTTTGGGGCTGCCATCCTATATTTGAGGATACAGAGCCAGAGACCCAAATACAGGTTAAGGTCCAAAACAAGATCTCATAGTTATGTGGATCCAAAATTCCAGAATTGTTAACTAGAAAATATGAAACTGTTATCTGAGGTTTTTCTTTTTCATGTAGGGTTTCTTTAGAAGAACAATTCAGAAAAATCTCCATCCATCCTATTCCTGCAAATATGAAGGAAAATGTGTTATAGACAAAGTCACGCGAAATCAGTGCCAGGAATGTCGCTTTAAGAAATGCATCTATGTTGGCATGGCAACAGATTGTAAGTAGAACTTCTTCATTTGCTTCCTCTTTGAGGAGTGTTGATTGGGGGAAGGGTTTGGTGCAAGATCAACCAGACAGAAAAGCAAGCAGGAACCCCTGTGTGCAGAACCTGGTGTTCCCGTTCAGGCTTAGCTCTGAGGGGGATATGTGGGAGCCATGGACCCCATCCTACTTCCGTCTTATCAACTCTCAAAGTGTCCAGATGATGGGGGAAGGAAAGGGGTTAAATTTATCCCTGCTGTGCATGCAGCAACAGATTGCAGCACATTACAAAGGAGGGGTCTTGTCCACTGACCCTGATTAGTAACTTCTCATACCCAGGGTTCATATGCTCAGAGCCCTGGCAACTCGTCCCCTTATTTTTCCAGAAGCAGAAGTTGGAATTTACATTATGGGCATTCTTGGAGATGGGGCATTGGTGGAAAACATCATGTTCAAGAATTTCTGGAGAATTCAGTCAAGTGCTACTGCATGAGTCATCTCTCAGTGGCTTGCTTGTATTTTTAGCCATAAAGACACTCGAGCCGAAGTTGTCCTGCCCAGTTTTCCAAGTGCCACAGCATATGGTGATAAGATTAGCCCTTGGGGGGTCTCTCCTCCCTACACTGTGCAAGGGATTTATACCAGTCGCTTCAATTAATCCTAAAAAGAATAATTATGTCACTCAGCATGTGCAACTTCCCTTCCAACAGGCTTCAGTATCAGTGATTTCTACTGCCATTAACTTTTGCACATCCATGAGTGATTGCAACTATTAGTTAAAAAGGAAAACCGAGAAAAGAAAATGCAGTAAGGACTCTTCCTGATACAGGAGGAAATACTCATGGCTTATGTTTATATGATAAATAGAATTCTCTCAGGAGGAATGAAAAAAAAAATCCACAGAATGTCGCACTTTGCTCAATAAGACAGGGTAGAGAACCTTCCAAAAAGGAAGGGGGCTGGGTTAGGGTGTTAGGCTGGAAATCCTGAGTTAATCCCTACCTCTGGCTGTGAATGTTCCTTATCTTTTAAAGACTTTAGCCCTTGCCAACAATATGCCCAGTAAGAATGTGTGAACATGATTGACTTGGAACAAAATGCTTAAATGTGTCACTACAATGAACCGTTATTACTGAACATCTATTGCATGGTTTCATTGGGAAGATCTGAAAATTTATGGGGTTAAAAAAACTCAGAACTTATTTCTACAGTAGGATTAACACTGAGTGTCTCTTCCTGCTCACAAGGCATGTTACAAGCTCAGGCATTATAAGCAGAAAAACTTCTGTTCAAGTCCCACAACTGCCACTAGCTAGCTGGTGGCATACAGCCTCAGGTTTTCCTTCTCTGAAATCGGTGTCTACCTCTGCGGGTGGTATCCAGGGTTAAATTAGATAGTGTTTATCAAATGCAGCAATCTCTGGTACACTGGGAGCATTTGGGAAATGGGACTACAGGTGTTATTACCCTTTAGTAAATGAGCCCAATGACATAACAGGGCTCATTCACATTTTTCTGCATTTGTAAATGCTTATATGACTTTGAAAATCCAGTCCGGATCATCTGGGGTTTGATGTTCTATTTGTGCATTCTCCAGGTATCCCAGTTCCCCTCCTCCTGCTACATCTGCTTCTTTTCTTTCCCTGCTGAGTCTTCAAGTAGCTCTAGAAAAATGATGTTGTAGAACTGGAGTCAGGAACCCTGGGCCATGAGCTGAATTGGATAACATTTAATGCCTCTTCCAATTCTAAAAATACTGACTCTGGAATATAAGACCTGAGCTTTTCCATTCCACTGGTAGCTACTGAGTCTTGTGCAATGGTTTTGGTTTAGAAATTAACCACAGAAATAGAGGTTTCTTATTACCTGTTCTTACTATTTATGCAAAAAAGGTTGTAGCTCCATTTACTGATTACCTACAGTATATTATCACATTGCATACCTTGTACAGTGGGTATTATTGATTCCATTTCACCTAAGAAGAAATGAAATCTCAGAGAGCCGGTCACTTGCCAGCGGTCACACAGAGAGATGGTGGTAGTGTTAGGATTCAAACCAAAGTCCTTCTAGATTCCAAAGACTAGGATCTTTACCATTGAGGGTTGATCAAGTCTAACATAATACATAGTGAGTACTGTGAGGTCCAGCCATGTTCCAATTAGCCCTTAAGGGGTAGTTTGATTCTTTGTTTTGGGGGTTTTTGTTGTCATTTCTGAGGAAGGAATTAGGAGTCTCCGATTACTGCTCCAGGACATTTTCCTTAACCTGAAGTTCTTTAAGGCAGGTGGAGAGAATAGAAATCCCGAGAGTGAATTTAGATTGGCTAGACAGATGTGCCTGTGACTCTATGGGTAGTATAGATCACATCTCTCTGCAAGAACTATATTCTATCACATTGCAGTGCCCAGTGTCCAAAGTTCCCTCAGGACATTGAGAACCTGCCTGGGCATTGAGAGTTTGCTCCCGGGATGATGGTGGACAATGGCTAGTCCATGGCACTTTGTTACCAAAGGGAGCAAATGCTTCAATGTGACCCCCACACTCCCTTACCAGGCCATCTGTGCCATAGTGGCCCCTCCCAGAGGCTCCAGGACATGCGGGGTACCCTGTGTCCTGGGAGCATCTGTAGGTCTCATCTTTCTCTCCCTCCCAGTGGTGCTGGATGACAGCAAGAGGCTGGCCAAGAGGAAGCTGATAGAGGAGAACCGGGAGAAGCGACGGCGGGAAGAGCTGCAGAAATCCATCGGGCACAAACCAGAGCCCACAGATGAGGAATGGGAACTCATCAAAACTGTCACCGAAGCCCACGTGGCCACCAATGCCCAAGGCAGCCACTGGAAGCAGAAACGGAAATTTCTGGTAAGGCTTCCTTCCACGGCCCCGAATCAGCTACACACCAGGTATTTTCCATCTCAACTCGACTCGTTCCCATAGCTCAAGGATGTGGCCATTATTGTCCCATTTTATTGATGGGCCCGATTTGAATCCTGGCCCTCCGAGTTGCAATCTGCCTATGTGAGACCTAACGGCCTCTCCTACCATCTACTCTTTGTGATTCACTGAATTCCGTTTCTCTGGCCTTTGGCCTCAGTTTGCTTTTGCTGTTAATGAGGCCTGTCCTGGAACAACTCATTGATAAACTTCATTACCTGCCAGCTTTCCCTGTCCCCATTCTCTGCTTCCCTCACATGCCCACTGTATACATTCTTAATCCTTAAGAATAGCCTTTAATTCCATCCCTCAAATATATTTTTATGTTAGTGATAGGGCACTTGCCTATGAAATCCTGGGTTCCATCGTCAGCACAAAGAAAAAAATCATGTCAGTCAAAAATTTTGGTGTATATCTATTTTGGGGTGCTGGGGATCAAACCCGAGGTCCACACTAGGCAAGTGCTCTACTGCTGAGCTACGTTCTCAGCCCTCTAGAAGTCAAAATTTTTAAAGAAATTAATGGAAGACTATGAAAATAAGGAAGTAGGGACAGAGGGCAGGTGTGTAGGAAAAACAGACTTTTCTAGACCCTTGAATATTGGCATTTAATATTTTTCTAAAAGCTGGCAGCTGTGAAAGTCCTCCCCACCCACTGCTCATTTAGACTTCACAGTGCTTGACATTAAGCTGGGATCACCAGCCCCATTTTTTTTTTTTTTTAGATATGCAAACTGGGCCCAAAAGCCCACTAGGAACTTCTGACTCCAAGTCCAAGCTCTCTGCCCACCTCATTAGATGGACTCACCATCTCAGAGACTGATCCTGTGCTTAAGCTATGACACGAAGCCCTGTCTGAGCACCAGGCCAAGCTCTGGCATCAGATAGTCTATGAGTCCATGTCCCTAGGGAACATCCAAGTGCCTGCCCATCTGAACAAGCAGATACAGCGGTATCATTGGGCTTGTCCCTCAACATTTTAATGCAACAGTGTTTTTAAAATCATAATAACCTTAGAGTAAGTTTTTGCAAAGAAAAAGCTTGCACCTATCCACCTGCTGTGAAACCGTGGCTTTGATGGCTGTAATGAAAGGACAATAGCAGTATTTTGTTAATGGTTCCCACTAATAGCAACATTTAGCAAAGCCTTACATGACCTTTACTGTATGTCAGGCACTATTCTAAGGGTTTTGCATACATTTACTCCCTGTACCAACCCTACAGGTAGACACAGAGGACATCCCCACTGACAGAAGAGGGGACAGAGGCAGAGAGGTTTAAGAAATGTGTCCAAGTTCCCACAGCTAGTATGTGGTGGTGGCAGGTACAGCAGGCTCTAGGAGCCATGCTCCTCCCTGGCCACCTGCACAAACTTGAGAAGCCTCCCGAGCACACAGCACCTTGGAGGGGCAGCCTCATAATGCCTTCATCATGCATCCCCACTCCCACCCTATGTATTGGGGGTCTAGCAAGATAGAGTCTTGCCTAACCCTACTCCTAAATCCCTCCCTTGCCCAAACATGTCAGGCATAAATGAACATTTAGAAACCACTTTCAGAAAAGCTGGGCACAGTGGCACATGCCAATAATTCCAGCAACTTGGGAGGCTGAGACTAGAGGATCAAAAGTTCAAAGCCAGCCTCAGCAACTTAGTGAGACCCTGTCTCTAAGGGCTGGGGATATGGCTCAGTGGTTAAGTACTACCCCCCCAACCAAAAAAAAAAAAAACTTTCAGGCCTAATGCCACATTCTGACTTCAAGTAGTGACCAATAATGGAATTCAAGCTGAATTCCAAGCTTGATGGAAGATTTGAGACAAATTCTTAACTTTTCTCCCAGGGGTAATTTAACAATTTTATTTACTTTCAAAAGAAAATGGATACTAGTCTGTCACTAAAGGAAGTCACTAAGCAGCTACTCTGTGCCAGGAAGTGAGTATGTCAGCTACATTCCAGTTCAGGGAGCTAAATAGCTAGAGATGAGTACAGGGACAGAGTGCTTATGAATGAAGGAGGAGGACTTCATTTCTCCAAGTAGAGTGCTTAAATAGAAAAGGGCTCTCTGAGGAGGTGACATCTGAGCCATGTCTGCAAGCTGAGAAAGAAACCTATAACAGAAAATATAATCAGACTTCTCCGTGGTTTCTTCATCAAAGGAGAACCTGTCTTGAGTCTGTACCCTTAATTTAGAGCCTTCTGCCAGTCATGGGTCTGATCATGTGCAGAAATAACCAAGAAAGGGACAGCATAGCATGATTTGCCCTGAACTTTCTGGCAGGGCCATAAGATGATCCATGCCAAGGAGGGTCTTGTTGAGGATACCGTCTACCAAGCAGTCTCTTACCCACCTGTCTCCCTCCCTGATGATGCCGACTTGAAATCTTTTTGTGGATCCTTGATCAGGTCAAGAAATTGTCCCTCTTGATCCAAATATAAATAACTGCTTCTCTAAGCCATTCTCACAGGGGGACATTAGAACTCCGTTACTGTCCCAGTGATCTATAGCATCACTTTCATTTCTAGCAGTCCATCAGTCTGTGCCTGCATCTCCTAAGGGGGGGGGGGGGAGTTGGAGACCATGTTCTTTTCACTCCCACCCCGAGGGCTACAATTATTCTCTCCTCCTTGAACCTGGGCTGGCCTATGATTCCTTTAAATGGCACATTAGGGCAGAAGAGATGCTTCTAAGGTTGTATCACAAGTGGCTTTGCAGGTCCCACTTGGGTCTCTTGGAGGAAAATCCAGGTCCCTCTGATACCATACCCTTGTGCTGGAAGGATGCCCAAGCTAGCCATGCCCAGAGGCCACTTGTAAGGCAAGATTCCCAACCAACCCAGGCACCAGAAAAGTGAGTTTTAAAAAAAAAAAAAAAAAAAAAGAACCCTCAGATGATAGCAGCCTATAGAGCCATTCAATGACAGCTGGATGAGGGGCTGGGGATTGTTTCAGGACACTAATGAGGGGAGGGGTTGTTACACAGTAATAGATGAACACAACTCAAAATTAAGTTAAACGTACCATTTCCCTGGTCCCAGCCATATTTATTACATACTCCATACAAAAATTAAGTGTTTATGCTCAGAGTGAACATTCCGCCTTTTGATCAGTGCATTATTCCTATAAGGACGTTAAGAATCCTTTCCTAGAGTTGGCTTTGTTACAGGGTATACATGTACCGAAAGGTGTCTGGGAACTGAAGAGGCTTTTATGCATTAGGGTTTGTACCTCCTGCATGGCGGAGTCCTGACCACCCACCTCTTGGGTGCTTTCAACACTGTTCCACAAATTATTTCATTGATTTTTATGTGATGTCCAATCTTGTTTTGGAAAAATATTTGAAAAGGCCTATTATGATAGTAATAGTAATATGGGGGATTAAGTGTTATATATTGTCATAAAAGCTACAAGTATTCACTAATCTGGAAAAGTAAGTTAACTTAGGCCCCAAAAGAAGCTACTTCATCATTTTTTCACTCTAGGACCAGATAGGGAAAAAAAAAAGACGGGTGGTTTGACCTGGGTTTCAAATCTATATTTGAATTTTGAGAAAATTAGAGTATTTGGCCCATGAAGAACTTTGGCACAAGCCATGTTTTAAAACCGCTTCCAAAAGCACTGAAATCATGTAATTTTCTAGTTTTCTCAAATCTCTGAGGCTACAGAAAAGCCCAGTTTTACCAACAATTGGCTTGTGAAATGTGATGACGGACAGCAAGGGAAAGCTGGTCTCTCCACCAGGTGTCCCTTCTGGGCCTCCCTGGGGCAGGGTCACCTTTAGTTTGACTCCTCTGTTGCTTTTGTAACTTCTAAATCAGTTATCTCACTTCTGTAAGACTCAGTTGCCCTGTGGCCTTCCAGATGGCATAAAAGCAATAGATAACAATAGGCCAGGCACCATTTGACCCGTTAACAACCACATAGGTGGTTACAGTGTACATTCTCCCTCCCAGGAAAAGTGGGAGCCACTAGTCATGTCCCAAGTCTCAGGACCTTGAATCATAATCTACTCAGCCCTCCAAACATGCAAGACAATATCCTATGAATACTCCGAGATCCCATCCCACTCTACATGTGCCAAAGAGCTGCCAGGTTAAGCCAAGAAGTCTGCCAAGAGCCAACTAGCAGCATTTCCTGCTTACCACAAACAATAGTCATGAAAGAGTCACAACAGGAAGCCAGTAGGTAGAGATTTACATAACTTCAGCCACCCAGGTGCTAAGCCTGCACTTGTACAAAAAAAAAAAAAAAAAAAAACTCATCCTTACTCTCCAGAGGAGGCACTCTGGCTTCCCTATTCCACATTCTGTGCATCTTTAGCCCTGAGACATATCTTAAACTCTATGTCTTTCCCACTGCAACCAAACCTATCGGTGTTGCCAGTGTTTTCCTTTGGCGCACACACACCATAATAACCACAAATATCACACCTCTCTCCTGTTTACACCCCTTCAGTGGCCATCCCTTTGCATTTAGAATAAGCCTGTGTCCTCTCCATGGGCCAATATAATGGGACTCCTACCTGCCTCATGTCATTACTGGGCTCTACCCATCTCAGCCTCCTTTCTGTGCTGGTGTTTCCCTTAATTGTCCTTCCCCCAGGCCTTTGACATTCTGCAAGTCAAAGCTTGCACATTGCTTTTCAAAGGGTCCTTAACAAGACCAGAAGTGACAGGGTATTATCACAGACTGAAATTTATTGGTGAATGTATTTTTCTTATCTATTACCCGTCTTCCTCAGGATACAAGTTCCTTGATGCTGCATTGTTGAAATCTCATCATCTAGATCTAGACCTGGCCCATAGTACTTGTTCATAAATATTGGCTAAATAAACATTGACACATTTATTCATTCCATTAAATAATAAGCATCTGTCCTCCACCATTTGGACGGATGCCTTGTACATAATAGGCAAAAATACATAAGGCTTATTCCCAACTCCTTTGAGAAGTTTGTCTTTGATATGCACCTACAATTAAAAGTGATAGTAATAAATGCCTAGTGCATGTGGGGGGGGGGGAGAGAATAAATGTGGACTGCCATGTGTGCTCTCAGGTGAGGGAGAACTGAGATCATCTTACAAGATGTCTAGGAAGAGACCGAATTTGAGTAGGGTCTTGAAAAATGTGTGGGACTTTCAGAAAAAGGCAGTGTCTAGAGAGAAGGCAGCCGGGAAATGAGAAAGCATAAGGCAAGTTGTGGAGAGACAGGGTGAGGCCAGCTGGCTGGTCCAGTATATGTCCATTTAAGACGACAAGAAGCCAGAGAGAGTTGGAAGGACCCACCCAAAAGCAAGCAAGGTAGCTGGACCCACAGAGGCAAAAGCGGGCATTCCCAAAGGTCCACCTGCAACCCAGAGACCTGTCCGTCCCTGAACTAGCATAAATCCAATATTGTGTATGTGGACAAATGGATCTCATAGCCTTATGTATCACTGCATGAGCTACAGTAAGATACCTAACAGATCCAAGTGATGTCAAAACACATTTTGTCCTTGTAGGTGAAAAATCTTAGTGGAAGTCATAAACAAGGTTGTATTTAACTCATCAAGTACCTATATATGTAGATTTTCATAAATGTTTTATTTACTTATACATTACTTATATATTCCATGTATAGAATATGTATTTTTTTCTATCTGAGAACCATTATGGAGATAAGACTTTGGCCTTGTATATAGTTTATTCTAGCGGTTGTATTTGCCATTTAATATGCAGAGACTTCAAAGTTGCTTTTTCTTCTACTGATATATTTTTACCCAAAATAAAATGAACCTCTCATGTGTTCATAGATTTAATTAAAGTTGCTACATTTCTTTGCATAATTTCAGTCCTTTTTTCCAAATCTTTGGAGGGGCCATTGGTAGTGATTCAAATACACTATGTACCCACAGATTGAACGGAGTCATTAACACTAGCATCATTTCAAAAGAGACCAAATTTCTCCTTTCAGTGCAATCAGATTAGGTCTATCAGTATTCAGTGAGGAAATGGATCCAGAGAGGCCCAAACCATATTATATGAAGTATTTTTATTTCTAAGAATATTCCTACCTATATAAAATATATTCTGAAGTTTTATAACACTCCCTACCTTTTCAAATGCCTGCCCAATTTCATCAATTGAGCTCCATAACAGACTTGTGACATAGAAGAGGTAAAAGGAGCTTCATTTTCACAATGAGAAGGTCTTAGAGCTGTCAGGTCTGAAGAAAGCACCAAACAGAGCCTCTCAGAAGAGGAACCCATGTACCTTTTCCCTCAGCTCCATCTGAGGAGGAGGAGGAGAGACGGGAGCTGTCCAGGTGATCATTCCACCCATTCTGTCTTCAGAAAGGCCACGAAGCAGGCCCTCTGTGGACATTCCATGCTAACAGCTGCCCCAGAACATAACCATTTACCACTAAAACATCACAGAAACCAGGTTTTATCCACTCACAGGCACCAAAGCAATAGCATAACATATAAATTTAAAAAAAATAAAATAAAACAGGAGAACCTACTAGATAAAGGCAAGCCATGCAAATGTGTTATGTGATACAGCATGTATCAAAGTCCTGTCCTGAGATGGGCACTATAACACCCCAGCCCCACCCCCACCCCACCCACCTGCAGGGCCTGGGCTGACACTGACCTTGGCAACAGAGTTAAGACTCATCTGCTGCTTTTCTCCTGCTGAAAGCTACATGTGAGTGGCAACAGGAGACAGGAGGGAGGAAATATGGTAACTAGGTTACTCTGCGCTGCACTGGGTTGCCCCCAAGCCCTTGCTCTCAGAGTCCAGACCTATGGCATCAGCATGTCCCGGACACTTAGAAATGCAGATTCGCAGTCTCTACCCCTGCCCTACAGAGTCTCAAACACTGAGGGAGGGTCTCAGAAGTCTGGTGGTTCTGGTGAAGTTTGGGGGTCAGTGCCTGGCCAGGACCTTGCCATGGGAAGTACTGTCACTACTCTGTAAGTGAGGGCTTGGGTCCTGCTCAACTCACTCTAGGGTCTGTTCCTGCTCTCCCTCCTGCCTGCCCTCTACCCTGGGTACTCCTGACTATGAAGTGTGGCTTTAGGCAAAGGTGGCCACCATCAGGCAGGCCACAGATCTGTGATCTCTTTGGTGACATTCAAAACTTCCTGAAGAACAGGTTGTTCTTCCTGAAGAATAGGTGGAGAGGTGGGCAAAGGCAGCCTGAAGAGTAACACATCTGTTTCCTGGTAGTGGAGCGTAGGGGGAAGAGCCTTGCAGAGGGCTGGGCAGGTGAGGGATCCTGGAAAGGCTGCTGCCTGGAGTCAGGGCCACCAGGGCTCACCTTACCCTGCCTGAGCCCTGCTGTGCTCATCTGCAAATCAAGGCTTGGGTGAGGACCACCTGAGATAGGGCAGTGCAGCGGGGGCTGCCTCACCTCTAGTCCACAGATTGTGGTTATTAGGATCACAAAGACAAGAAAGGACAGTGGGGAAGACTGTTCCCACAGGAAAAAGAGTGACAATGAGAGAGAGAGTGAGGGAAGACAATACAGAATGAAGAGCTAGAATATTCCCATGGAACATGTGCACAAGTCACCTGAGGGATGTTGGCAGGGAACAGGGGAGTCCTGACTAAAACACTGATTCTGCACCATCGAGTCTGGGGAGGGGCCTAAAGAGCATCTCCAGGGGACACCTATGCAGCTATACCACCCTTTGAATGGAAAGCCTCAAGTAAATAGCAGAAAAATGCCCTAAGGATACTGAACGACAAATTGGCCCCACTGCCCTAAGGTGCGCACAACTGGGTTCCCTACAGGCAGCCTAGAGATGGCCCCTCTCAGTGCTTGGCAGGATACCACCTTATACTAGATTCCGGACCACTGAGAGGAAGGAGCGTGGCTCAGAAACAAGAGTGAATCTAGTTAATCTACAGGGGGGCACCATTGCTAGGGAATAGCCAGCCCATCATATGGCTGCATCCCTGCCCCACTGTGCTCACTCCCCCCCCCACACACACACACACACAGAGAATGTACAGCGCTCTAAAAACACTATCCCAGAGACTTAGGTATGCACCCTTTTGTGCAGGCAAAAACAGACCCCAAGTGCCTGTCTCCTCTGCCTCCTTCCTTCTTTTTCCTACTAGCTCATTCTTTCCTGCCCCATCATCTGAAGAGCTTACCCACTTGAGCTCCTAGGCTGAACCTTGGGAACACTTCATCTCTGGAATTCATCATGCAGTGAATGGGGGCACTGGCACAGCAGTCCCTCCCTCCTTCCCCTCCTCTCTAGCAACCATTCTGAGAACATTATCACTGATGGCTGATTAAGGCAATGACCAAGACATATCTTTGTTCCAAGACAACTGATGGGAGAACGCTACAGTTTGTTAATAAACGAGATGGAAATCAGAAAATTCAGCAGCAAGTCAATTCAGAAGAGCTTCTGCCACACAGGAACTACAGGAAATTCTATCTCCCTTCAGCTTTGTCCTTTAAATCTTTCTTGTTTCTCCTCCTCAGCCGGAAGATATTGGACAAGCACCAATAGTCAATGCCCCAGAAGGTGGGAAGGTGGACTTGGAAGCCTTCAGCCATTTTACAAAAATCATCACACCAGCAATCACCAGAGTGGTGGATTTTGCCAAAAAGTTGCCTATGTTTTGTGAGGTGAGGACATTGTTTTCTTTTGCATTATTTTTCTTCATAGTTCCATCAATTTCCAGGAATACTGGGTATTGTTTAGAGTTTAATATTAAAATTAGCCGAGCTTAGTCATATGAAAGCAATGTCAGTACAAAGTACAAATGCACCCTGTTCCATTGTTTCCCCCACCTTCTTTAGTCTCAGCTTGTCCACGTGAGGGCCACCAAGACCCTTCCGTGGACCTGGCTCCAAGTATAGGCAAATAAAATCCCAGTGACCTAACTCAAATTTGCCGACATAAATCCAATGTTTATGACAGATCTGCAGGATAGGTTCTATTAACCGCATTTTACAGAGGGGTCAAAATAAGATCAAAGAGATGAATTGAACTTATCCAAAAGCAGTACCAGGATTGGGACATAGGTCTATATTCTTTGAACAACTTATCCCAGCAAGATGGCTGCATAATGGTTGCTTAAGAATTAAAGTCAAGCAAGGCTCTCAATATCTCCCTTCGATCTTCCCTCTTTTCCTCTAAGTTCACCTTCTGCCCCATCTTCAGGGAACCCTGAAGAGCTCAGAGACATTTCATCCCTAACTTTAGCAGCCCTGTCATGCAGTGACCGAGGACGTGGGCTCTGCAGTCGGCTGCATGGGCATGAATCCTGAACAGACCTGACGCCATGGCACACACCCATAATCCCAGCAGCTGAAGAGGCTGAGGCAGGAGGAGCGCAAGTTCAAAGCCAGCCTCAGAAACTTAGTAAGGCCATCTCCAAACAAAAAAAGGGTCTGAGGATGTGGCTCAGTGGTAAAGCACCCCTCGGTTCAATCCTTGGTACCAAAATTTTTTTTAAAAAAAACCACATTTAATGTCTTCAAACTTCAGTTATCTCATCTTAAAATTGAAATTGAAATAGCATCCATCTTAGAACTATTGGGAGATTTAAATAGGATAATATAAGTACTTGGACAGTTCCTGGATCATAAGCTTTCCTTAAAGCTGCCTAGGGGCTGGGGTTGTGGCTCAGTGGTAGCGCACTTGCCTAGCATGCATGACACACTGGGTTCAATTCTCAGCACCACATACAAATAAATAAAGATCCCTCAACAACTCAAAAATGTTTAAAAAAAATTTTAGCTGCCTATAATACCGCAATGACATTTCCACCCTCCCTGTAACTGCCCTTTTTGAATCAAGTGGGACTGATTCTGTTTTCTGGAGAACTTTTCCTTTTGCAAAACTCCATTAGGTGCCAATCTAAGGCTCTTCACACTTTCAGGGGGACCCAGAAAGATGATACTCACAAAGGCTCACACATGGCTATGTGTCTCTTCTGAAAGCTACTTGAATGATGAGAGATTGTGGTCTCGGGGAGAAGCATTTCCTCACCTAGAATGACCCCATGCTACCTTGGCTTCCAGCTCCATTGTGGCCTTGAGTTTGCAATAATGGGAGCTACAATTGGAGCAACCATAGACATTGATGGGGATACTTCTCATTGCTCATTTCCGAGCCTCTACAGAAGGCATACCCACAAGGTTTGGGCAATGGACTTTAGGACATTGTCAGTTAGGTCGGGGGGTAAGGTACAGAGTGAGTGCGGGAGTACCTGTCTCCCTCTGACCCCCCACTTGACTGTGGTGGGGATGAGGCATCTTAGTCAATTCAGGCTACTATAACAAAATACCAATAGGCTGGTTAACTTATAAGCAGCTGAGAAGATTGAGAAGTCCCAGGTCAAGGCACCAGAAGATCTAGTGTCTGGTGGGGACCTGCTTATCTGTTCATCCACTGCTGTTTTCTTGCTACATCCTTGCGTGGCAGAAGGGACCGGGGAGCTCTCTGGTGTCTCTTTTATGAAGACACAAATCCCATTCATTAAGGCTCTACCCTGCCCTCAGAACCTTGGTACTATCCAAAGGCCCACCTCCTGTGCCATCACATCAGGGACGAGATGCAACAGAGGAATTTTGGAGGGATAAACATTTAGGCCATAGCACTAGGGTATTTGCTATGGAACTTCCTGTGCCTTATGACATCTTTTTAGAATTAGTATTTATGACCATTTTGGAGGATGTTATAAAAATAGCCCATATTCTCTGGGTATGGTGGTGCACACGTGTAATCCCAGCAGGAGTATCACAGATTCAAAGCCAGCAATTTTGCAAGACCCTTAGCAACTCAGTGAGGCCCTCTCTCTAAATAAAATATTAAAAAGGGCTGGGGATGTGGCTTAGTGGTAAACCACCTGTGGGTTTGATCCTTAGTGCCAAGAAAATTTTAAAAGTTTTTGAAACAGCACATCTTCATTGCAGATTTATGCAACATAATAAATGTAAAAATTCTTGGTAAAACTGACATCAGTTTGGAGCATTTTTTTATTTGTGTGTATTACATATACATGAAATGTGTTATTAATTTATGCAATAATGTTGTTTTTATTAAACCACTTCTAACCTTAAAGAGTGGTGTGCACCTGTCCTAAGGGTGCAGCTCATGAATTCATCCCCATAATCAGCACTGAGACCAAGGAACAGAACATTCCCAGCACCCACTGCACCTGATTTCACTGTCAGTGGTAGGACATATGAGTGTCCTTGCACAAAACGATTTTTAATGGCCAAATAGTATTCAAAAAAATGAAGTTATTTTTATCACTGGCTCTGTGGCTCATCTACAAATTTTCACTCATAAATGAGTGAACATTTTGGTAACTATGCCCTGCTCCTATCATCAATTCCTCAGGGTGCATCCATGGAATCTAAGGACCAAGGCATACAGAGATCCCTTTTGAGGCCCTTCTTATGTGTTCCCAGATAGCAATGGAGTGAGAAAGCATGCCCCTGAATGTCTTCAGACAAGCTTGCTTCCCCTCTCTCTCACCAGCTCAATGTCATCTTTATCTGTTGGGTTGGTTTTGTCTACCTGAGCCTTTCTTTGGTTGTGTCCCTTGAACCCCAGGCCTTGGTGGCTGAAGAAGAACGCTGTGGAGTTTGAGAGTTCAAGCCAGTCTGCCTGTCACATGGCAAGCGCCCTTCGAATGCCCACCAGCAATGTTTTGTAACAAATGGAAACCTCCCAAAAACCAACCACTGAAGAGAGATTTCACTTAAAGAAGTCGTCTCCAACCCCAGAAACAAGCATTATGGGCCCTCGTGTCCATGGTATGGACGTGGGCTCAACATGGAAATTTCCAAGCATGGGGTTGTGGAGAGCTTTTCTCGTCAAGCTTTCCTTGCAAGTTTAAGGCTGCTTCACTGTCGTGATTCCATCTCTCTTCCAACCCTGATCATTTGTAGTCTATAATTTACAAACAAGCGCAGACACATGTACTTCCAGGGCTGGGGGGGGGTCTTCTCGGCACCTTTCATCCTTTCACATGCTATTTGAAATCCAAGGGAAGGTAATGAGCTCTACAGGGCTCTGCGCTACTCACAGAATGGGATGGGGATCCCAGGTTGTTTTGGAGCCAGGGGTTTCTTGCAGTTTGCTGCCTCTGCTGTTCAAACTGTGTGCCTGGCGATTATTCTAACATCCTGTCAACCCACTAAACAAGGGTGGAATGACAGCCAGGGCTTTCAGATATCTAAAAATCATTGCCAGTGGAACTGCCAAAACAACAAGTAAGAACCCCCTGAGATCATGCCATCATCTTTGCCAATTGACCTGAGCGTTGCTCCACTGAGGAGACAGAAGACCCTGGGGGCATATCCCGCGCCTCTGCCTGACAGCCCATGTTGGAGCCTTCTCACACTGAAACACTGTGGCAGGTACCTGAGAGATGATTTGCCTATATATTAAAACAAATCTCACCAGGATTCCACACACCCCAAAAAGATGTGTTTTTAAACCAGTGATGATCCCTTGCAAATACTGATTCAGCTTTCATTTCAATTTGAACTAGTCATCAAGAGTTAGTAGGTTTTATAAAGAAAACTTGAAAAGACAACTTGACTTCAAAGGTGGGGTCTGCCCAAATTTTTATACTTTTACAGATTTAAAAAAAAAAAAACAAGTGTTTTGATCTGATTAATAATTTCTCAGTGCTGTTCTATGCCAGAGGTTCTCAGTAGGATCCACAAACCTGCAGAGTAAGCATTACTTGGGAATTTGGGTGAAATGGAGAAACTCAGAGGTGCAGTCAGGAATCTACACCCAACAAGACCACAGGTGATCCGGATGGGGCTGAAATGGGAAACAGGTGTTTAAGTTGGCCCCTCTCCTCTCACCAGTACAGGGTCTACCCAACCTTGGGCTTTCCACTTCCTACCATGCCTTGGGCCATGAGTTAAAGGATATAATTAATGAATATAAGTCAGAACCCAAACAAAAGCGAATCAGTGATTTCTTAAAAATAGGTGGAAAAAAAGAATTCATGTAAAGATTGCATGCATATGAACCCCAGAATCAAATATTAAATGACTTTTGGTCTTTAGAAAAAGCTAAGCCATTTAAATTAAATGGCAAGGTGACTAGGCTAAGCTAGTGCAAAATATGTAATACCCAGCATCTTAAACATAATTCAATAGCATTATGTCCACTCCCGTATAAAAACCGAAATTGCACTAGTCAAGTGTTGCCAAGAGCATTTCCCAGAAAGAATTCATAAGGAGCTTTAAGGAGGAGGTAAATATTATGTGTGGAAACTATTATTGTGACTTTTATACTCATAGTTTGTACAATCATATCCATGATATTTGAGTGTTCTCATCGCCGCCCCCCCCCCTTGGCATTGGGTTCTGACAGATCTAGCTTCAAATTCTAGCCTCACCCACAACACGTTCACATGACCCTTACCATCTCACTCACCCTTTCTGTGCCCAAGTTTTCCCATGTGTAAATAAAACTGGATTTAGAATATCTACCCCAATGTATTACTTGGAAAATTAAATAAGAATGCATGTAAATCTTAGCATGATGCCTAATTCATCAAAAACACATTAAGAGCCTTTCAAATGAGTTTTATAATGGCATTTAAACTCCCCAACCACAAAATAAATTTCCATTATTTTTCTGGTTATTTTATAAAGTACATTGTTCATGTTATCCCATTATCATAAATCCTAATTAAAGGGGTAGACACATGAGCTTAAAACGAAATCACAATACTGGCAGAAAGATCTGGTGTGTTAAGCAACTCTGGTGTCTGAGTTGCTGAGAAGAACATAACCTTAGGAGCCAACACGTCTGAATTCTGTTCTCACCTCTGCCCTCCTCGACTCACTGGGAAGGACAAAGCTTTTATCTCTCTGGGCTTCTTTAGTAGCATCTGTCAATAGCCTCCTAGTTCTGCGCTTTTTAAGAGACTCAAGGAGCCAACTTGCTTCAAAAAATAAAGAGAAGCTGTTGGAAACTGAACAGTAGAGTCAACTGCTAAGTATCAGAACTGGAGGACATAAAAAAAGTAGAAAAATTGGTAAGTTTAGCATAAACCCTGCTCTCAGTTATCCAGTAAAGACATAAAATAATCCACAAACTATGGGGTTGAACAGTTTTATACATGACTAATGCCAGTTGGAAATTTATATCTGTCATAAAAGAAATGCAAACTACTGAGATTAAAGTTGAAGATTACAGCTAGCCTGGATCATTAAGAATAGTTGTTGAAAGTCTGCTGCCACATAGAGGGTTTGGGGGTGGGGGAGGAGAACCAGGGGCTCCAAAAATGCTGGATGAGTGTCAGTGACAGAGGTCATTCCTGTTGCTTTTAGGACACTGCATATGGCTTTGACTGGCATTTTCCTTTTGTCCTTTGCTGATGTGAGCTGCTTCTTTTCAGCTGCCATGTGAAGACCAGATAATCCTCCTCAAAGGCTGCTGCATGGAGATCATGTCCCTTCGCGCTGCAGTGCGCTATGACCCAGAGAGTGAGACTCTAACCCTGAATGGGGAAATGGCAGTGACACGGGGCCAGCTGAAAAACGGGGGTCTTGGGGTGGTGTCAGATGCCATCTTTGACCTGGGCATGTCTCTGTCATCTTTCAACCTGGATGACACCGAAGTAGCCCTCCTTCAGGCCGTCCTGTTAATGTCTTCAGGTGAGTATGCCTAGATTTGTTCTGGGTATAAAAGGAGTTTTATGTGTCTGGTGCCAATTCAAATCACAAATGAGTCTTCAATCCCCCTTCAATTAGGGGTTTGCCAATAGGCTGGGAACTGAATGAAGGCATCAGATGTCTGATGGTTTTTGGAATTCTCCAGGGTAGTAGGAGGGGGCGGGAACAAAAGAGGTATAAAGACTATCAGCCAGGCATGGTGGTGCACAGCTGTAACACCGGCAGGTCAAGAGGCTGAGGCAGAAGGATCCCAAGTTCAAGGCCAGCCTCAGCAATTTAGCATGGTCCCATCTCACAATAAAAAGAACTGAAGGTGGGGCTTAGTGGTTAAGGAGCCCTGGATTCAATCCTCAGTACTACAGAGAGAGACTGACTATGAATTGACCACTTTCAGCAGACATCACCCATCCTGCCTCCTCCCATTTCTGTGTGCACGGACATGGATGAGAGGGACCAGATCATTCTTTGTTAAGCTGTGTGTGTGGAAATCATATGAGAGTGTCAAAATTTGCTCCCAGGGGTGAAGGGCAGTGAATAATGCCAACAGCTTTTTCTTCAGGGACCATGTCATAATAAATAAGAAATACAGAACACATCTTGTTACTTAAGGGAAGCTAATCTTTAAATATAAGGTGGTTTCAGATTCATCCTATGAATTTGCAGAATACCTGAGTGAGCTCTACTTTAGTGCCTATCCCTTTGCACTCTAACTACCTGCTTAACTTGACAGTGTCTCCATCTGAACTGTTCGTCTTTTGAAGACAAGGCACCTAGGCTAGGTTTTAGCATTTGAAAAGTACATATTACATCAATGGCTGAATATATGGGTAACATATCTGAAATGTATTCCGATGCAAAGGAAAAAAAAAAAAAAAAAAAACAGTAGAGCCAGCCCTCTTTATCCTCAGTTCTATATGTAAGGATTCAACCAACCACACATGGAAAATATTTTGGGGATGTGGGATGGCATCTGAATACACACAGGCTTTTTTCTTGGCATTATTCCTTAAGTAACACAGTATAAAAACTATCTACATAGTATTTACATTGCCTTTGGTATTATAAGTAATCTGGAGATGATTTAAAGTATATAACAGGATGTACGTAGTTTATGTGCAAATACTATACCATTTTATAATGAAGGACTTGATTTTCCTCAGATATAAGTACCTGCAAGGTCTTGGAACCAATTCCCCACCCTCATGAGTACTGAGGGAGAATTTTACACATATATAAAATATATAATTGTATACAATTTTAGAAACTATAGATAGTACAACCCAATTTTATATACAAACTGTCATAAATATGAGGTGTGTTGGTACTATCCGTAGTTTCAGGTATCCACTGGAAGTCTTTGAATATCCCAGCCCCATGGATAAGGGGGAGGACTACTGAATACAAGAAGGGAAGGTGTGGCGCGTATTGTAGCCTCAAACAACTTAAAATTCGAGATTATGTTTCTTTATATCCAAGAGACTTTCTTACTGTCTAGCAGTCTTCCGGCCTCAGCCATGTCACCAGTCTCTTCTCAGATCTCTTCCCTACCCCGACATGTTCGTGCTAGTCCTCTCCACTCCTGCAGGCAGCCAGGGGATTGTTTCCCTTATTATGCAGTGGTCAGCTACATTGTCCTAGGAGGGAGGCATCACCTTTCACATCCAAGGAGGCGATTTGTCTAGGCTAGAGGTATTCATCTAAACAGAGCACTGCCGCTCCCTGGTCACTTGGTCCCTAGTGCCATGGAATTCATGCTGCATCCAGGCTCCCTCCTTGGAGCTGAAAAGACCCCAATCTGCCCACCTCTCACTAAAGGACTAGAAGCCACCTCTTCCCACCTCTGAAGTGTTAGCTGGGGGGCAGTGGCACATGCCATCAATCCCAGCAACTGGGGAGACTCAAGCAGAAGGACTTAAGTTCAAGGGTGGCATGGGCCACTTAGCAAGACCCTGTCTCAGAAAACAAATGGGGCTGGGGATGCAGCTCAGAGATAAAGCATCCCTAGGTTCAACCCTGAGCACCCTTCTCTCCGCAAAAATTAATAACCTCATTCTTCCTTCCCCTCAGATCGCCCAGGGCTCGCCTGTGTTGAGAGAATAGAGAAATACCAAGATAGTTTCCTGCTGGCCTTTGAACACTATATCAATTACCGAAAACACCACGTGACCCACTTCTGGCCAAAACTCCTGATGAAGGTGACAGACCTGCGCATGATCGGAGCCTGCCATGCCAGCCGCTTCCTGCACATGAAGGTGGAATGTCCCACGGAACTCTTCCCGCCTCTGTTCTTGGAAGTGTTCGAGGATTAGACGGACTGGATTTGTTCTCATAATTCCTACAGCACTACTGGGTGTCATTTCATTCCATTGCCTAGCTCTTTTGTTCGTTTCTTTGTTTCTTGTTGGGAGGGATCGTCTGGGGGAAAGGGAGGTCGTCCTCGGCATAGACATGGATGAAACTGTCCCTTGAATGCGGGTCCTTGTAACTATTGCATTTTGTTCCCCGGTCCTTCGATGTGAATGCTTTGGAGGTTTTACAGTTGTGGAGGCAGGGGAGGGGGGGAGGGGGGACAATCATCAATTCACCAGCACCTGGCCATCACCAGCTCCCACCCGTCCCTTGTCAGAGACTCAAGCTAGCCAAATGGCACTGCAGAAGAGTAAAGAAGCCTTAAAACCGAGATAATGCCGCCATCGTGATCCAATCCTGATTTTTGCAGGGCTCAAGGTAGCAGAGCACAAACCACCTTTGGTTAGATGTGGCTTTCAGCTTTTTAGGGAAAGAATCAAATTTTCATCTACTCGAGAGCATGCTCTTTTCAGCACTCTCTCCTTCCCGCATAACTTGGACTGTACAGGAATACTGGTGTCCTAACAAATCAGCTGTCCCTTCATCATTTTTGTGACCTTGTGATTTAATTTCAAGTTACACAGGAGTATGACTCAAAAGATACGCAGGTATCTGGCTGATTGAGGCCCCAGGGAGAATAATTTTCTTGAGCGAGCCCAAAGAAATTGGAAATCTTCACCAATGTTAGTGATTCCGCAGTTTCCAAAACTTCACGCACGATTACCTCATGGTAGGAAGACTTCTCTAGAGCTGAGGGTCACAGAACATTCCCACAGAAGTCAAACCTGTTTATAGGGTGTCGTCATGTTTCAATGGCATCTGGTCTGCCATCTCCCGAGCTGCTCAAGTTATTTATCCTGGCTGCACCTTTGCTGAGTTAACAGATTTCCCTATGGATCAAGTCTTCTAATCAAGGCGAGATACACAAGCTGAAATTTGAGTCTGGTTTGGAGAATTCCAAGGAGAGATTAGCGCTGTTGAATTCCAAATTGAAGGAAATCCAGTATTCATGTGCTGGGTGACTTGGGAATGTTTCCTTCGGGTCGCACGTCCTCAAGAGATTTTCTTTATTCACAAATATTCCCTCCAACTCTGAGGCACTAAATCGCTCAACTCTCCCTACATAAGACGGGTCCTATCCCCTTTATAGCACTATTCTGACAGATATTCAGCAGGAAACCCCTGAGGGTCACATACCAGAACACTGTCACCTTCCCCACCCAACCTCCCTCTCCGATGAGGGAGTAGATGTGCCCAGAAAAGAAACGGTGACACCTCATCACTTCAGCATCAGAAAATGGGCAAAGAATGTACCCATGCAATTGAATGTATCTCATTCTTCACTGGCATAGTAGATATAAACTGCCTTTTACTGCCTTATCCTGGAAATATTGGGGAAAATAAGCCATATCCATGAGATTTACCTAAAAACAAAGGAATGATAGTCACTGTGAAAACCAAGTGGACTCATTTTCTTTAGGTTTGGTGGAGCCGAACCAGCCTAGAAGTCAGGGTGCCCAAGTTCTGGTTTGTGCTCTGTCAGCTGGTGGTTTCTGGACCTTAGTTCTTGGTTTTCTTATCTGGTAAATAAGACATGATGTCCTAAATCCTCACCTTCCATATTGTATGAATTTTAGGGGGTGAGGGTGGAATACCGTTCTTTGAATGGTTTCTTTTATAATCAAATTTCAAGCTTCATTAGACAAACAAGTGTGGCCCATTAGCAGTTAAGAGATGTATATTTGATATGGATGGTGAAGACGAATTTGCACAATGCTAGCCAAGGATTTAGAGGAAGACAGGATGGTCTTGGAGAAAGAAAAGAAACAGCACTGAAAATCCCCAGCAGGACTGGAAATAATGTGAGGGGAGGGGAATTGTATGTTTGATGTGCTAAAGCAATTACATTGGCTTCTGGGAAAAGACTATCGCTACAGTACTTGTTAATCAGATATAGGAAGTGGGTGAAGAGATTAAAATATAAGCATGAAGTTGTTAGGCAGATTACCTGCCTTAATATTATCTATATAGATAGTTGGTTTGGGTTGGTTTGGATTTGGGGTTTTCTAGGCAGCCTCTAGCCAGTCTCCTTACACGTTTGCCTTGCCAACATCTCAACTCCCTCTGTTGGCTCCCCCTTGGAAACTCTCTGCAAAATGAACCACCACTTCTAGCTCCAGAGTAACAGAGAAGTTTACTGTGTGGAGCAAGTTTTCTTTCCAAAAGCACCCAGAGAAGGCAAGCAGGTGAGCTACTAGACAGGCTCATGGATTCTAGGGCATCAGGGTTTCCAGAGAATGTTTCCTTGTGTTGCTTGACAGAATGCCCAGGACATCAGATTCCCAGATGCTAATGGCAGTGCAGACCCTGCTATCAAGCTATATCAGAAGGCTTTGGGGATTAACTATGATTGGGTGTTGTTCAATGGTAGATCCGGCTAGCCCTGAGCAGAGAAAATATTAGATCTCCCACTCCTTAAATGACTGCCTTACACAGGCAAACCCCTGGTCTAGCAGCCCTGTTGAAGGCTGAATACTTCACACTAAGTAGGACAGCTCACAGTACTTCAATTTGAGGGAAGAAGATTTAAGGATTCAAAGGATCATGACTGTGGAGGTCAGAGCAACTAAACTCACTCCTTCTGAAACTGACGGAGATACTTAGTGCATCTCAAAACTCCATCTCAAAAAGCTCTACTGGGAGGAATTTGCTGGGGATTTCTTACATTTTTTTTAACATTTTTTTCCTTATATTGTCCGGACTTTCAAATCAAGTATGGACCTAATGGAAATGGCCTTCACCCCTGCCCCCAACCGTGGGGAGACATTCCAGGAGAGCAGGACATACCCACACTGCGGGGATTCCTACCTAAAAGTTGCTCACAGTTAGGGACACATAGGCACAGGTGCTCGGGGCACGCGCGTGTGTATGCGATCGTGAGGGTTGTGTGCGTGCGCATGTGTGTTTTTAACCCTCAAGTGTACTTTGCTCTTCAATTTAGACATGTAGTCCTTCCAGAAACAGTGGGGGGAAAAAGAGCTTTCCTCCTTTATGATTCTGCTCAAAACACGACGTGCCGCCTCAGAGCTTTTTAATAGTCAAACAAGCTCAGTCCTCAATGACGCGCTTGACGTGTTGATGCTCAGCCCAGCGATGTCCCCTCACTTGGGCCCCAAGGGACACCTCAGCCTGCAGTGCAATCACCCCCGGAGGGCTGCCAGGCCCAGCTCGGCTCCAGCAACCCATTCCCCGTTGCTCCTCTGTGAACAGGTGTACAGCCTCGGCCCCTCCTCAACACTAAGCCCCCAGACAGCCTCCACGGAACTGCTGAGCACCCCCAAAGCATGTCCTTGTCAGTGATACATTTTTATTCCATGGAACTCTAACCTATTCGTGTCATATTGACCTTTTGCTGCATGAGTCATAAATTATGAAATCGGTCTTATGGTTTTTGAAATGTAGCCAGCATTTGTAAGGCTAAACCTTTTTCAAGAACTTAATGTAAGTGAATAACCAAGCCACAGCTCCTCCTCCAAAGGAGAGCGATGACACATTTGAATCTCTTTGCCCTTTCCAACCACGATGGCATCAGGTTCTAAAATAAGCTCGTAATTTTTCCTGTTATTTTAATAATATGGAAATATTAGCCTAGTGTTTCTTTCATAGTGATAGACTATAATCCATATTTAAATTTTATAGAGAAGAAATTTTATTGTACTGTGATGTAGATATTTATTATCCAGGTAAGGATTTGCCCGGTGTGTATTTTTTACAATTGAAACATTTTACTTTAATCTTTAAAAAAAAAAAAAAAGTTAAAAAACATACACACAGAAAAAAAAACAAGGGGAAAAAAAGGTTTGGCCTTATCACAGAATTTTTACTGTGCTGTATAAATGTTTGCAAATGCAAAAAGTGTGCATTTCTAGTGTGTTTCCACATTAATTAATGCCGCCTTCAAGAGCAATATCGTGCAGGTAATAACGCTGTTTGTGGCTTTCTGTTGCACAGTTAAAGCTGACCCACCTTATGCACAAGACAATCAAATATAAATCTGTCCTCCTCAGGATGCAGATAATACTCATGTACACATGGAGCACAATGTAAGACAAAAGACGACTTTTTACACGTGTATTGTTGATACGGCAATTATCAGGGCATGAATGCACTCACAGGACTTCACCCCACTTTTCTTTCTTTCCATATGAACATCTTTAATTTCATCATAGATCCAAATGAGTTCTCCACCATGCCTTCTTCAGAGAAAACACTTTCCCCCCATAATGTTTTCATGCCCTGATAATCAGAAAAATGCTACAGAATAGAACAGTCATTGGAAGATGTGTGTTTTGCAAACAGTGTTAAGTGATATTGCTAGATTGGTAATATTTTTCTCAGCCTAAAACTCTGTTGAAATCTGTGATCAAAAATGTTTTAAACTATCCAAAAAGAAAATTTGTATATTTGGGAAAAATGGATTTTTACATAGCTTTTGTATGCAAATATTAAATTGTAATTATGAATATAGTGGGCGTAGATAAACTCATAAGCTTAAATTCTAAAAAAGAGAAAAAGAAAAAAAAAAGAAAAAGCTTATAATGGACGTACTTTCCCGCCTCTTTCTTTAATTATTATTAGTTTCTAAATAAGCACAGAGTTGCCTACTCTTCTCACTTTACCTGTTGCCAAAGGGAGAAAAACAGGGATGCTACGGACACTTGGTTCATAACCATCTCCAGAAAAAGCAAATGTACTTGGGAGAAAGGTATTGGGGTGGGGGATATGAAAGGCTGATGGGGGTTACCTCTTTGGAAGGCCACAGAGACACAAGGAGAAGGAAAGATCTCATTTTGCAAGTCAATGACTATTTGTTTCATTATCTCGAAGTGTTCCAGAATATTATTAATGGAATAATACAGCAGCTACCAACATATACCTCCATCCCCATTTCCCTCAACATGTCACTGTAAAAAAGGAACAAAAGCTAAATCAAACTGGCTTAAACATAAAAGGAATTATTGATTTTAATGGATTGAGAAATCTAGGGATAGGACAATCTACAGGCAGGGCTGGGTCTGGATGGTCACTTCGGATTGTCAAAAAGCACCTCTCTCAGCCTTTTTGTTCATGTAGGCTTCCAGTTCACATAGCCTTGACCTGATCCTGGCCAATAGTAGCTGCAGGATTAGCCTTACAGCGCCAATAGAGTAGAAAGAGTTTCTTTGCTCCAATAATGCCCATGAAAATCCTGGGCCTAATTCTCTTCCTGGTCCCAAATTGAATCTTCTGCCCTTTCTAAGGCAATCATGGTGGTTCTGATGACTGATGAGCTAATTTGCTTAATCCCTTGAAATCCTGGTACTAGGTGGAGGAAATGAGGGATAATGAGCACCATCTAAACCGCAGACTGAGAATTGGGACAGGGTTGATTCCTCAAAGAATATTCTAAGTCTTGCTGATTTAAGAAAAGGGGAAGAAAGCAAAAGCAAACAATACCCACACCAAAAATTGAGTCTGAAAGCATAATCATTTGCAATGCAGCAATGGCATATCCTCAACATAGGAAGCTCCATACATGTCAGGTAAGATGGAGGAAGCATCCAGACCTAGGCATGCCTAAAGGTGTCATATCCCTAAATTTTCCAGACCATTAAAAAACTTCAAAACCTGCAAGGATCTGATACAAGGTCCCCTCCAGCCAACAAGTTCTTGCAATTATCTGAAGAAAGGGCATGGTCACTTAAATTCCAAAGAGAATCACACAGCTCAACAAACAACCAAGCCCATATTTCACTGGATTGTGAATTTGTCAATCTAGGGGTTTTTAATTTAATGCAAATGGATCAGGTAAATTGATATTCCACTTGTAAATTTTCTTGCAGTAGCAGAAGCAAACACATGTAAACTAATCATATAATTATAAATGCTATGCTACTTTTTCTTTTGGGTGGTTCATTTCAAGGGCAATTATTTTTCTGGATAAATAAACATACACATATGCACACACACATATATATACATATGTATATATGAAAATTTTGTAAAAGCCATTGAAATTTTTTCCATACAAAACTTGACTTGGGGGCTGGGGCTGTAGCTCAGTGGCAGAGCGCTTGCCTAGCACATGTGAGGCACTGGGTTCAATCCTTAGCACCACATAAATATAAACAAAGTAAAGGTATTGTCCATCTACAATTACAAAAAATAAATTTTAAAAATTAAAAAAAAATCTTGACTTGGTTCAAAGATTGCAAAGATTTTGGCAAACACCACACAAGAAAGGTAAAGTAAGATGCCTTCTTTCAGGACAGACTAATAACATCCTGTTTTAACTTCCTTGCACAGAACACCAATTGCAATGAAGGCGGCAGATGCACATAAAACAAACCTCACCTTTAAATTAACAAGTTAGAAAATTCTGGTATCCACAATAGGTACAAAGATAAGAAAAACACTTAGTACCAGAAAGATGTGGCACCCTCATGTGAATTCTAAGGATTTTATGGTTTTGTCTAATGGATGTTTTTAGCTCCGAGACCTTTTAGAATCTCTTTCCACTACCTAAAGTCAAAGCTAGATCAACCCTTTGTAACAGTAAATTACATCAAAAGACAAAGAACCTGCAAGACATTGTGTCATATGCCTGTAACCCAGCAGCTTGGGAGGCTGGGGCAGGAGAATCATGAGTTCAAGGCCAGTCTCAGCAACAGCAAAGTGCTAAGCAACTCAGTGAGACCCTGTCTCTAAATAAAATAGAAATAGGGCTGGGGATGTGGGTCAGTGGCCGAATGCCCCTAAGTTCAATCCCCAATACCTCCAAACAAATAAAGAACCTGAGGCTATCAAGGGTCATTCATTGCTAAAGGAACTGCTTATGAGAATGCCACTGAACACTCAAAAAAAAAAAAAAAAAAATCCACCTCCATTTTCCCCAGAACTTGCACAAAATAGCACTCAGTTACTCACCACTTAGGAATCCCAGCAACCACCCCAAAGAAGGTGCTGTGTGTTTGAACTACCTCTCAGAGTTCTTCCCTATCATGACGCATGAATATGTAATAATGGTCCGCCATGCAATGAAGGCCAACTCTACTTCAGGAAGCATGCTAGTTCATTTACCTAACCTTTAATCTCCAAACTGGAAAATAGGTGTTACGATTCTCATTTGACAATAGAGCAATGGACCCCCAGTGTAAGCAACCCATCCAAGATCACAGAGTTGGCAAGTGTCAGAGTCCGTGGGTCTCAAGATCCATGCCGTTTTTCCAACATGTGCTAATAAGATCAGGGTAGAAAACCTTAGCCCTGAAGAAAGAGCAGGCAACTCTGCTTTGGAAATATTTGCCAATCCCTGTCCTCAAAGATTCCCCTACACTAGTGCAAAAAAACACTTACAGCCTGAAGAAAAGCTACCTCACCTCTCACTCGGTTGTGTCCATTGCAAAACCACACACTGTTGCTGCAACACCACAAGTAATTTCTATTTACAGGGCACACTGATAATCCAGCTGGCTTCCAGAGGTGTCAGTCTAACAAGAGGGTCTTTTGTTTTTCTAAGCATTCCAGCGTCATGATGACTGGGGAGAGCCAAGTGGCTCTGTATGATAGAAGAAGAATTAATAGCAATGGAGTTTAAGACACAGGACAGCAGGAAGGAAACCAATAAGATGCCAGAGGCACTTGTATTTCAAGACGTGACATCATGCTGTACCACTTTTGACTGTAGATGATCAGATTATTGGCAAATGTGTGATGCATACACATCTCTTACAGAAACCAATGAAGGGAGACATCTGGGTAGCATGTTGATATAGAACAGGAGAACCCCAAACCAAAGGGGATCTTAATAAAATAATTATCTTACAGTTCATGGGATTTAGGGAGGGGGCTACTTTGTCTAATTTCAAAGATTTGAAAGTTTTTCAAAGCAGTTTGACATAGTTCAGAAGGGAGGGCCACAGCTGACATCTGGTGGATACATTTACTTAATACTGCACATAGACATGAGGATAAATTAGTAAACTGAAGGCCCTTGCAGAATTTTCCACAGGAAAGTAATAAGAGCCTCTCTTACCCAATTCTCACTCTCACTTGGAATTCAAGGAAGACAGCAAAAGTCTCAAAATATATTGGGGAGAAAATGTTTATGATTCGACACTTGCACATCTGAAATGTCCCTGGATTAATGTCACAAGGATATACAAGTAGGTTTTTCAAATCAACAAGAACAAAAAAATGCCATAGTCAAACAGAATATTTGACGGGTGCAGTAGTGCACATCTATAATCCCAGTGGCTCGGGAGGCTGAGGCAGGAGGATCACAAGTTCAAAGCCAGCCTCAGCAAAAATGAAGTGCTAAGCAACTCAGTGAGACCCTGTGCCTCCAAATAAAATACAAAATAGGGCTGGGGATACGGCTCAGGGGTTAAGTGCCCCCAAGTTCAATCCCCGGTACAAAGAAGGAAAAAAAACAATATTTATGGAAAGAGAATCCCAAACAGATAACAGGATTATGAAGAGATCCCCTATTTCACAAGTAATCAGAAATATGAACTTTGACACTACTTCATGTTCAAACTAGGCAGATTGAAAAAATATCAAGAATGTAGCAAGGAGGAGGGAAGATGGCGGCGAGGGGAGTGCATTACCCCCGTGTGCTGCTTCACTGTGTGGGAGTGTGACAAGTCAGGACGGCTGAAGGATATCTTGTTGGGAATTTCCAGCAATAGTGGGGTGCGCCGGAACCTGGAGGAAGGATTTCCATCGCATGAGGATCGGCTACGGGGACTCAAACGCGAGAGGTTTGTCGCACGGAGGGTAAAACTGCTTATTCAGCGAATCGCCCCGCGGCTGGAGTCTGCAAGGCGCGCTGGGATAGAGACGCAGGGTTACAGCGCTGCAGTTTCTGCCAGACGCGCAAGCACCGCACTCAGGGCTGAATTCTGGGTTCGAGACGGGGAAGGAAGCGGTCCATCTCGGTTCTCCACACCGGTCAGACCACAGAGGAGGCCAGCAGCCACCATGTTGGTAAACTGACGTCACCACACCTGTTTTTGACTGACCGCAGCTCATTCAGCCATAGAACAGGTAATTTCAGGCTGCAATTCGCCTGCGGCTTGCAGACAGATTGCTAGGGTTCAGCGCCTGGGGGCTTCTTAAAATCTGATCTTATCGGAGTGAACACGGAGCGCGGGGCGGCCGAGTCCCGGCTCCCGGAGCCGTCCCGGAACCGCCCTGGCTCCGGGCTGCGGAGCCTGCGGAGGCTGCTTCTTGGACCCTGCTAATATCAGAGCAAACACGAAACACCAAGAGGCCGAGTTCCGGCTCCCGGAACTGAGCCCGCGGGGACTGCTTCTTGGAGCTTACACTTGTAGGAGCTTACACCGAGCACAGAGCGGCCGAGTTCCGGCTCCCGGAACCGTCCCGGAACCGCCCTGGCTCAGGGCTGCGGAGCCCGCGGAGGCTGCTTCTTGGACCCTGCTACTATCAGAGCATACACCAAACACTAAGCGGCCGAATTCCGGCTC